GGGTAGATCGATAGATCTATGAAAATATGAAAAATCTTGAAAATTAATAGTCCAAAAATGTGTTATAAAATACAATGTTTCCAAAAATTGAAATCCATTTTTTCTAATGTCCATACATCTTGATGTCGAGATGATCAATTTGAGGATATTTGGGCATAAAAAAACAACTTCTTCTAGTGAAATTTTTGTGGTAGGCTCCAATTTGATCGTTTAGATCCTCTCTATATAAACTTTTCCCTTAAAAAATGCCCTCTTTTTAAAAAATTCTTACCAAACTATCCTACTTTCAATATTGAAGGCTCAAAGTTTAAGTTCCCAAAAAATTAGCCAAAAAAAATAAAAACATTCCCTTGCTTTTGGGATAGAGTTAATTTAGGAACTTTAGAGAAGTTTGGTTTTGAGAGCTAAATTTCGAACATTCAAGGTCTGAAGTAGGAGTAATTTAATTAAAAAATTAAAAATAAAAAATGGGTGTGAACATAAAAAATAAAAATTTGGAAGGGATACTTTCAATAACATGAATTTGAAGGGATCTGTGCTTACATTTCTCGAAAAAAAGCTAAAATTTAGTTCGACCCTTCAAAGAGAGCAAACAAAAAAAAGAAAACGTGAAATAATTGTAATTCGACTGTTGAAGGTTGAACTAAGGGCAATTTTGAAAATAATAAAAAAATAAAAAATAGACCTTCGTGTAAATTGAAAAATTTCTATAGGTTTGGTCCCAATGAGAAAGTGTCACACCAGTGGAAGTACCCAATCACATAGAGTGGAAAAAAGACAAACAGGAGGCCAAGAACAAAAAGACACGCAGGGAGACCAAAAAAAAAAGCAAGCAAGCCAGTGCACCATGTACTCCATTGGACCAACAAATCATAATCTAATTGTACATAAAATCCCTAAAAACTCCCTGAAAACCGACCCAATATTCCAAACTAATCATCCTAAAAGACACGCAGGGAGACCAAAAAAAAAGCAAGCAAGCCAGTGCACCATGTACTCCATTGGACCAACAAATCATAATCTAATTGTACATAAAATCCCTAAAAACTCCCTGAAAACCGACCCAATATTCCAAACTAATCATCCTAGACCCTTGATCATAATAAGGGAAAATATTGTACAGACTTCTAATTCACCATCTTATTTCATGTTAGACTCTCTTTTTTTTCTTTCAAGCGGCATAAAAAAACCTTCGAATATTTCACCGTACCCTTTCATATCTTATCTCCCACATTTATTCAATTTGGCCACAAAAATTAACCCAACAAATTGTTTTATTTCATCTCAATCCAAAAACCTTTTTAACCCTATTTTGCACTTTTTTAAAAAGTTTTTGGATTGAGATGGAATAAAACAACTTGTTTGGGCTAATTTTTATGATCAAAAGTAAATAAACCTGAGAGATAAGAGATGAGGGGGTACGATGAAATACTTAAGGGTTTTTTTATGCCACTTGAAAGAAAAATAGAATGAGGGTCTACCGTGAAATATGATAGGGAATTAGGACTGTAAGAAATTTTCCCTCATAATAAATATAGAAATTAACTCAAACATTAGTTTGACACCTAGAAGCATAAAAACCGACATCCTATAGTCCTAGTGACCAATCAAAACTTACTCAAATTGGATCAAAATTTGATTCCAAATTGTTGAGGAGATCACAAGCTTTCTAACAATTTAAGAATCTCTCAAATTCAACATGTTTGAAAGTTATTGCTTGAACATATTTGTTCGCAAAAAAAATTGATTTTTGTCCACCAAGAATTATCTGTGAATGTGTCGCATGGCCCTCGAGACATCGCAAAATGCGTTGCATTTCCCTTTTTGATCGGTCATCTCTAGTTTTACGGGATAAAAACATGAGTTGATCCCAATGACATTTTTTGGACACGTAGAAATGTCTATAAAAGGCCTATTTCGGGCTCTTTTGAGCAGGGAGAAGCCATTTAGAGCCTTAAAAGATCGAGAGAGCGTAAACCGTGGACTCTGAGCCCAATCCATCCCTAGTCTTCAGCCTATTCCAGAAAATCCTGAGAAAACCCTAGAAATCCACAATAAGCTGTAAACCCACTACAACTTCGAAATTTCAGAGAACGCTAGATCCAGTTAAACCCAAAATCTAATACAAATTTGATAAAAACATCCCTACTAGCCAGTAATCCCTAGAGGAACATTCTTAGGTACAAATCTCTCCTCAGATTTCGAAAAAATTTATAGATTAGAATTCTTGAATGAGAAAGGGATAAAGACTTGCCCCATCAGTCTAATCCAAGCCTCAACTCTGGGTGCTAGGCCTGAGTGCCCCGCCTCCAGTTACATTTCTTTGTTGCATTTGTTTTTAGTTCTTGTTATTTGTCTTCTCTATTTCAAAATCTCATTCAAAACTTGCTCTCTTATTTTCCCTACCTTTCACTATTTCAAAAACCTCTTTCAATACTTGCTCTCTTATTTTCCCTACTCTTTTGATATCTTTTTTGAGTTTTACACAAATCTGAGCCAATCTTTGGTCGACGATCTATGAGAGAGCGGTTTCCTTCATGGTCGATTTCTCATATATCAAATTTTGACAATAACCGTCTCTACAAAGTATTAAGTAACAAGTTTTCATGCAAAGTGGGTTGGGTTGGACTTTAAGTAGTCTACTTCATCTTAGATTTCATGTGTGGATAGTTTGGCACCACCATATGGCCCCCGTTAAGCTCAAATTTCTGTAAACTGATTAGCATGGCATTGGAGTAGTTGCTACCTATGATGCAATAGGCGTCACCGTAGTCTACCAACATCGAGAGTTCCCTAATCCAAGGTTCAGGGACCTACATGTGTCTGATCTCGATCTTTTATTTTCTTTCGGTTGATTTGTATACTTGTTTCGCCTGTCACCAGCACTCCTATTTCAAGGGCAATCGGAAAGCATTTGCATTTGGCATGTCCCAAACCCTTGACTCTAGGTCATTGTGAGGCCTAAGCCTACAACTAGCTTTCTCGTACAATTCTGAAACCTACCTAAGAGTGGCTTACGAAAGCAAGTCAAGGCCTCAAAGTCCATTGGATTGTTCAAGCTTTTGCGCCCTGCATAGAGGCAGTAGCGCAGTTCACCTCTCTCATGCAAGTTGCTCTTGCAAGGCACTTCGTTGTTAGTAGGAAACCCTAAAATTCTCCAGTGGGCCATGTAGTATCCAATTGGCAGCTCCTCTTCTACTTTTTGTTTTTTAATTTTTTGAAATATTAAAAAAAATGTAAAAAAAAAATCGTCACTTTCCTCTTTATTTTGTTGTATAATTTCTTTTTATATTTGGATTTCATTAAAAAAAATATATATAAAAAATTAGGTAGCAAATTTCTTTTTTTTATTTTCTATTATAATTGCTTGTTTTGTGTTTACTGTTATATTTTTATTTTTAGTAGAAAATTTAACTTGTTATATTTTAGTTGAATAAGATATCTGTTGCATGTTTTATTGTGTTGCTACAACTCTTACACCCACTTCAGTGTGCTTCTTTCTACACTCCATGCACACACCTGCTGGGAAACCTGAAAAACCATTTCAGTTTTTTTAAAGCCCCCCAAAATCGATGTTCATGTCATTAGTGTACATTTGAGTTACTTTAATTTCGGAGAGAAATCCTAAAATACCCTAAATTAGGTTATTCACGCCAAATGTGTGGAAATTTTGTTAAAATGAGACAAAATACTATAAATTTTAAAATTTAGAGAAAACCCCTAAATTATAAATGTGTGGACACTTTTTTTAAATTTTTTTTGTTAAGATCGTAGTTTCTAGCTTTATAAAACCCTAGAAAACCGTAATTTCAAAGAAAAAACTGAACGGAAATTTTCTTAGGACAAAATATTGCAAATTTTAGAATCGTAGAAAAAATCCCAGAAAAATTTATAAATGTTTAAACGTTCGTTCTGTAAAATCCTAATTTCTAACTCTATAAAAACTTAATTTCATAAAAAACCATTATTTCATAGGAGAAACCTAACAAAAACTTAATTCAAAGCAAACTCTAACTTTAAGAAAAAACCATAATCTCTAATATAACCCTGATTTTACAAAAGGTGATTTCGGAGTGAACCACTAATTTGAGATGAATTA